TAAAACTAAAAACGTCACAAGTGAGAAAATGAAAACCAGAAAAAACATCACGAACTGTGGATTGACGCCAAGAATCAGAAGAGATGACCAAAGGTCAACTGATAAGACGAATATGAATGCAATAACATATCTAATATATTCCTGAAACACCTACAAAGACATAAAATAAAAGTATATATAAATTTCTTCGAGGTTAATTAGAAGAAAAATAAAAAAGAAAGCAAGTTACCATTTGAACAAGTGCTGCGGTTTCCCAGGAACGAGCTCACCTACTGAGCTCGACGTGCTGATGAGAAAAACGTGTCCAAACCCTGCGAAATAAACAAGAAAAGATCTCTACGGTGACTAACAGGAGAGCCCCGAGGTTGTACTCGGAGACATTTCGACGGTCAAATTAGTCTTCCGGTGAGTGGAATTCACGGGAAGTCATCCAAGAGGCCGGGCTGTATTTAGCCAAAACTTCGATCTGGTCGATGCTTTTTTGGGTGACTACCTCCACCAATACCTCTTTGTTCAGGTGAGCAAACGAGGAAGACGCCAGTTTTGACAGAGCGTTTCAGTAGGTCAGCTCGGTCTGTACAGGGTGCTGACTAAGAACCGTCAACTCCAACGCAGCGGCACCAGAATGAGTCGATATAGATTCAACCGCCACAACAAAATCTTCGACGACAGACAAAAATCCAGAAAACTAATTCCACACAGGATAGAACATGAGAGAAAGGCGACGCACCATTCATCCTTACTACTAACTACAATGCGCCCGTAAGAAAAAAGAGCAATATACCCAGTTTGAAGCGCTAATCGCCTCCGACGAAGCCAACCAATGGAACGAACAACCCGATCGCTCCAAATAAAATTTAAAACTAAAAACGTCACAAGTGACAAAATGAAAACCAGAAAAAACATCACGAACTGTGGATTGACGCCAATAATCAGAAGCGATGACCAAAGGTCAACTGACAAGACGAATATCAATGCAATAACATATCTAATATATTCCTGAAACGCCTACAAAGACATAAAATAAAAGAATATATAAAGTTCTTCGAGGTTAATTAGAAGAAAAATAAAAAAAAAAGCAAGTTACCATTTGAACAAGTGCTGCGGTTTCCCAGGAACGAGCTCACCTACTGAGCTCGACGTGCTGATGAGAAGAGCGTGTCCAAACCCTGTGAAACAAACAAGAAAAGGTCTCTACGGTGACTAACAGGAGAGCCCCGAGGTTGTACCCGGGGACATTTCGACGGTCAAGTTAGTCTTCCGGTGAGTGGAATTCACGGGAAGTCATCCAAGAGGTCGGGCTGTCTTTAGCCAAGACTTCGATCTGGTCGATACTTTTTTGGTGACTACCTCCACTAAAACCTCTTTGTTCAGGTGAGCAAACGAGGAAAACGCCAGTTTTGACAGAGCGTTTCAGTAGGTCAGCTCGGTATGTACAGGGTGCGGACTAAGAACCGTCAACTCCAACGCAGCGGCACCAGAATGAGTCGATATAGATTCAACCGCCACAACAAAATCTTCGACGACAGACAAAAACCCAGAAAACTCATTCCACACAGGATAGAACATGAGAGAAAGGCGACGCACCATTCATCCTTACTACTGACTACAATGCGCCCGTAAGCAAAAAGAGCAATATACCCAGTCTGAAGCGCTAATCGCCTCCGACGAAGCCAACCAATGGAACGAACAACCCGATCGCTCCAAATAAAATTTAAAACTAAAAACGTCACAAGTGACAAAATGAAAACAAAAAAAAACATCACGAACTGTGGATTGACGCCAAGAATCAGAAGCGATGACCAAAGGTCAACTGATAAGACGAATATCAATACAATAACATAACTAATATATTCCTGAAACGCCTACAAAGACATAGAATAAAAGTAAATATAAAGTTCTTGGAGGTTAATTAGAAGAAAAATAAAAAAGAAAGCAAGTTACCATTTGAACAAGTGCTGCGGTTTCTCCGGAACGAGCTCACCTACTGAGCTCGACGTGCTGATGAGAAGATCGTGTCCAAACCCTACGAAACAAGCAAGAAAAGGTCTCTAGGGTGACTAACAGGAGAGTCCCGAGGTTGTACCCTGGGAAATTTCGACGGTCATGTTAGTCTTCCGGTGAGTGGAATTCACGGGAAGTCATCCAAGAGGCCGGGTTGTCTTTAGCCAAAATTTCGATCTGGTCAATGCTTTTTTGGTTGATTACCTCCACCAAAACCTCTTTGTTCAGGTGAGCAAACGAGGAAGACGCCAGTTTGGACAGAGCGTTTCAGTAGGTCAGCTCGATCCGGCAAAGCCGCAGCACTTCTTCAGGATGCAAATTTGGATGAAAAATGAAACTAAAATCATAAAAAATGTAACAATAACCGGAGCACTTTTGAGTGCTAAAATTTTTCGGGACTTCCAGCGAGTCAGGTTTTTGCCGTTAAACACGCGGTTCCGCCAGCAGATCTCTTTCGCCCGTGGTTCATGAGAGAAAGGCGACGCACCATTCATCCTTACTACTGATTACAATGCGCCCGTAAGCAAAAAGATCAGTATACCCGGCCTGAAGCGCTAATCGCCTCCGACGAAGGCAACCAATTGCACGAACAACCCGATCGCTCCAAATAAAATTTAAAACTAAAAACGTCACAAGTGAGAAAATGAAAACCAGAAAAAAATATCACGAACTGTGGATTGACGCCAAGAATCAGAAGAGATGACCAAAGGTCAACTGATAAGACGAATATCAATGCAATAACATATCTAATATATTCCTTAAACGCCTACAAAGACATAAAATAAAAGAATATATAAAGTTCTTCGAGATTAATTAGAAGAAAAATAAAAAAGAAAGCAAGTTACCATTTGAACAAGTGCTGCGGTTTCCCGGAACGAGCTCACCTACTGAGCTCGACGTGCTGATGAGAAGAGCGTGTCCAAACCCTGCGAAACAAACAAGAAAAGGTCTCTAGGGTGACTAACAGGAGAGCCCCGAGGTTGTACCCGGGGATATTTCGACGGTCAAGTTAGTCTTCCGGTGAGTGGAATTCACGGGAAGTCATCCAAGAGGCCGGGCTGTCTTTAGCCAAGACTTCGATCTGGTCGATACTTTTTTGGGTGACTACCTCCACCAAGACCTCTTTGTTCAGGTGAGCAAACGAGGAAGACGCCAGTTTTGACAGAGCGTTTCAGTAGGTCAGCTCGGTCTGTACAGGGTGCTGACTAAGAACCGTCAACTCCAACGCAGCGGCACCAGAATGAGTCGATATAGATTCAACCGCCACAACAAAATCTTCGACGACAGACAAAAATCCAGAAAACTCATTCCACACAGGATAGAACATGAGAGAAAGGCGACGCACCATTCATCCTTACTACTGACTACAATGCGCCCGTAAGCAAAAAGAGCAATATACCCAGTCTGAAGCGCTAATCGCCTCCGACGAAGCCAACCAATGGAACGAACAACCCGATCGCTCCAAATAAAATTTAAAACTAAAAACGTCACAAGTGACAAAATGAAAACCAGAAAAAACATCACGAACTGTGGATTGACGCCAAGAATCAGAAGCGATGACCAAAGGTCAACTGATAAGACGAATATCAATGCAATAACATATCTAATATATTCCTGAAACACCTACAAAAACATAAAATAAAAGTATATATAAAGTTTTTTGAGGTTAATTAGAAGAAAAATAAAAAAGAAAGCAAGTTACCATTTGAACAAGTGCTGCGGTTTCCCCGGAAAGAGCTCACCTACTGAGCTCGACGTGCTGATGAGAAGAGTGTGTCCAAACCCTGCGAAAAACACAAGAAAAGGTCTCTAGGGTGACTAACAGAAGAGTCCCGAGGTTGTACCCGGGGAAACTTCGACGGTCAAGTTAGTCTTCCGGTGAGTGGAATTCACGGGATGTCATCCAAGAGGCCGGGCTGTCTTTAGCCAAGACTTCGATCTGGTCGATGCTTTTTTGGGTGACAACCTCCACCAAGACCTCTTTGTTCAGGTGAGCAAACGAGGAAGACGCCAGTTTTGACAGAGCGTTTCAGTAGGTCAGCTCGGTCTGTACAGGGTGCTGACTAAGAACCGTCAACTCCAACGCAGCGGCACCAGAATGAGTCGATATAAATTGAACCTCCACAACAAAATCTTCGACGACAGACAAAAATCCAGAAAACTCATTCCACACAGGATAGAACATGGGAGAAAGGCGACGCACAATTCATCCTTACTACTGACTACAATGCGCCCGGAAGCAAAAAGAGCAATATACCCAGTCTGAAACGCTAATCGCCTCCGACGAAGCCAACCAATGGAACGAACAACCCGATCGCTCCAAATAAAATTTAAAACTAAAAACGTCACAAGTGACAAAATGAAAACCAGAAAAAACATCACGAACTGTGGATTGACGCCAAGAATCAGAAGCGAAGACCAAAGGTCAACTGATAAGACGAATATCAATGCAATAACATATCTAATATATTCCTGAAACACCTACAAAGACATAAAGTAAAAGTATATATAAAGTTTTTTGAGGTTAATTAGAAGAAAAATAAAAAAGAAAGCAAGTTACCATTTGAACAAGTGATGCGGTTTCCCCGGAAAGAGCTCACCTACTGAGATCGACGTGCTGATGAGAAGAGTGTGTCCAAACCCTGCGAAACACACAAGAAAAGGTCTCTAGGGTGACTAACAGGAGAGTCCCGAGGTTGTACCCGGGGAAACTTCGACGGTCAAGTTAGTCTTCCGGTGAGTGGAATTCACGGGAAGTCATCCAAGAGACCGGGCTGTCTTTAGCCAAGACTTCGATCTGTTCGATGCTTTTTTGGGGGACTACCTCCACCAAAACCTCTTTGTTCAGGTGAGCAAACGAGGAAGACGCCAGTTTTGACAGATCGTTTCAGTAAGTCAGCTCGGTCTGTACAGGGTGCTGACTAAGAACCGTCAACTCCAACGCAGCGGCACCAGAATGAGTCGATATAGATTCAACCGCCACAACAAAATCTTCGATGACAGACAAAAACCCAGAAATATCAGATGGATGGCCAGGTTCTTCGTGGCGTGAGCTAACTGTTGTGTTTGCTGAGGAAAACCGGAAAAAACCATCAGAAATGAGGGCTAGAGAACGTTACAGGTGAATCTTGTAAATATGATTGCCCAAGAATACACAAATGCTGAGGGAGGCTATGTTCATTGTGAACGTACAGGTTTGATGTATTTCAGTGATTTCCTGATCCTTTGAAAGTAATGTCTGTCTGTGGTGAATCATGTTTCAGGGGTCGGTCTTATGATAGGAGGCGGTCACCACCTCGTTATTCTCGATCACCATTTTCTTCTCGGACCTATTCCCGTACTCCTGATTATTATTCACCATCTCCTCAACGAAGGTATTATTCGAGGTAGGGAGTTTCCTTGTAAGTTGGCTAAACCAGGATCAATAAGCATGACGATGTTGTACGATACTGAGACGTAAAATGTCTAATACAGGTCCATTTCTCCTCGAGATCGGAGGTACAGGAAAAGGTCTTACTCAAGGTCTCCTTATGGCTCAAGGAGCCGGAGTTGGAGTCGGAGCCGGAGCCTGGATTCTGAAGGTTACTCGATGTAATTGGGTTGGTGAATTGAGATGAGGGGGGCTTGATCACCGGAAGGCAGGTTTATGGGATGTAGTACTCCTGGATTATTATTGAGTCTGTTCTCTTCAGCTATGTTAATAGTGAAGGCTTGTTCATTTATACACTTGAGCACAGGATGTATTTTATTTAAGTTCCTGCAGGTTAGAAAGCTGAATTGATGGTTTTTTCCTCCCACTCAGTTCTTGTTTTATGTTTCGAACTTATTTTTGCCTAGTTTTACTTCCCTCATCTTTTGAGGCTGTTTCGAGGAATTTCGTTCCCCTTGGACCCTCTCCTCCCTGAAGGAGAGGACAACAGGCATGAGGTCTTGCATCCCTTTCCAATTGATTTGTTTTCAGACTAGTACTTTAAAGTGCGGTACCGGAGTTTTTTTTTTTTTTTTTTTTTTTTTTTTTTATTGCGAGGGCGAATTTTGTGTAACATCAGAGTCCTATATTGGGGTATATAGAGGAGGTAGATGGACCTATTGAATCTATTGAGAGGCTTCAGGCCATGTTCCAAGAAATTTTGGAGATGAAAGTGTCAGTTAGGGGTTCAACCCTCTGACCTGCGCACAGGGAGGAACTAAGTCCCTCCTTTGGTGGCCATGCTCGGTTAGTACCGGAGTAAAGACCTGGAGTATATTCAGTGATTAGGCGATGGGTTTGATTCACCGGAGTCGCGGGCAATTTAGGAGCTTATTCTGTTGCTACACCATAAGAATAGGAAGGAAGGAAGGACGGTAAGGCGCCGGCACCATAAGCTTCTGATTCTGATTCTGATTCTGATTCAGGCAGAATTCGAGAGAACGAGTGGTTGGGAGGATCATTTACAGTTGTTTCGCGATCCCAGCTGCAGAGTGATGGGTTGCGCCGGGGGTAAACAGTAGCAGCTGGTCAAGACAACCATTCGACGTGACGCGTCCATAAAATATGAAATGGATTGTGTACGTGTAGTGAATGTGTGTTATGAATGATCAATGATATATACCTCTACTATTTAACTTTTTTCTAAAGCTTTCCGACATCAACAGTGTAGAACGAAGAAAGACATCCCTGGCCGGTTTTTTATCAGTCTCGAGCCAATGACATTAATTTATTATTGTTATTGAAAGCTTTCACTTCCCACCCACTCAAGGACCGAGATAAAGAAGATGATGGCGGCCTGGTGGGCATCCTCTTAAATTCTTCTGGTTTGATTGTCGTCTCTTGTTGTTGAGATTTTGTGTTTTGGAAGCATCAAAACTATTCTTTATTCAAATAATAATCAATTTTAATAGTTTCAAAACGTCTGTTCTGTGAGAGAGATATTAAAAAGAAAATGATTTTTGTTTTTTTGTTTTTTTTTTTTCTACTTATTACAGGGCTATTGCACCATAATAGAGACATAAAAATTTGTAAAAATATTTTAAGACTATTCTTTTAATTTTGCAAAGTTTACAATAATGTGTGTGGCTTCTTGGCATCCAATAGACCAAAAATATTACTACTAGTTTAAATGACAATCGCTTTATTTATTTTTATATATTTTTTGAAAAAAAATCATCCCACCCCACTTGACTTCAAATTGCTGCAAGCAGCCGACAAAAAAAAAAGAAAAAAAAAAAAGGGGGAATCTGAAATCTATAGTAAGAACCACTCATTTTTGTGATTGGTGGGTTCAATCTGAGTGCATTGTACGATGTCTTTATCTGCGTGCAGGTGCACGAAATGGGGCAGGGACACCTGCAACCGTCCCTGAACGGTTAATGATCATGATTTGGCCTCAAAAATTTGTGCGGCTGAGATTACAAGTTATAACTCGATTTTCACGTCATGTGTGGGTCCCACAAAAATTTGCTCTAAAGTTACGCGATGTGCAAGAAAAGTTACACGATGTACAAAAAAAGTTACGCGCAGTTGATAATGATCAAAATCGCCTGGTGCAACCGTCCGTGCCCTGAATCAGCGGGTGCAGGTGCATGTCATACTACTATTTGCCCTTCGAAGGAGATGGCTATATAATGATTTTTGTGTTTAATTATATTAAAAATCTTTGAAAGAAATGGAGTCTTTTTCCCCTCATCTGCCTTGGGAGGAAAATCATTATTGAAATTAGAAATTGATCGATCTGCTTCGGAATTTTTTAAGGCTAAGGGGAAGGATTGGGTCCAATCTTCTACTTGGATAGTCGTCATTGACCTGGTTTTATTGAGATAATTGGAAGGAATGGTGACCCTTTTGATCCATTCAACCATTAAAAACTACTATATATAGCATCATCAGTGTATCAGTGTTGGCGTTGCAGAAAACTTGTCGAGGTGTACAATTGCCTCTATCAGACTGTTAAAAAAAAAAAAAAGGTGGTCAAGATGTGCGAAATCTGACATGAGAATTCCAAGATGAATTCAAGAACGCCAGGCGGACTTCTTCAGGTCAATTACACAATAGAATGACTTCTTTCTTGAAGAGCTGAAACAAATTAACGAGTTGAATACAAACAATGACAGGTCTTGCATATATATATATATATATATATATATATATATATATATATATATATATATATATATATTGACTGTATATATACTGTCACCGTTTGATCATCATGATATGTGTGTAAAAATTAAATTTTAAATTTAAATTTTGCATAGTTGTCTTTCATTCAACGCTGACACTGTACTGTATACACTGTCAGTATAGAAAAGATTATATATATACCAGCAATCACAATCAGAAATCGATCTGTGACGTGTATAACGGGTCAAAGACAAATTGTGAGCAATCAAGTTCTTCAGCAGTCGAGTAAATCCCACCCTTGATCGAGTTGAACTTCAATTCAACTGCCTGATCGATTGTCTTATTAACATTTTCAAAAGAAACTCTGATTTGGGCATCTTCCAAAATCTCCCATTTACTTAGTCAAGAGTCAAGGCCAACGCAACACAGTAAGAGAATTTGTGTTTTTTCCACATTTATAAACAGCTCCCCACGTCTCATTTCTGCTCTTTAGTAGATGGATTCATGGATATATCAACAAACTTGTACTAGCATTAATTCTCCTAGAAAGAGAGTTGGATTAGAAGGGGCACTGATTGCGGATAATACCCAAATTTGCTGCCTGTGTTTGAGTGATGAAAGCAATCCCAGAGGCAGCAGCCAAGAGAATGTTCTTTCTTGTACCTTACGGGGCTACTACTCCTACAGAGCATGTGCTCCCAAGTCCCACTGTGTTAAAATGCGGCTGCAATAGTTATGCCTACAGTAAGACAAACGGTCTGTCTGACGAGCGCTCGCAGGACAGTCGTTAAGATATATTTTAAGTGTCATATTTTTATAAATATAAAATTAATTAAAAAAATAAATAAATATATGTAAAAGGTATGTAAGTTTAAATAAAGAAAATATATAAATATAAGGAAAGATAATAATTTAACGATCTACTACTTATTTTCGTACTACATTATGATCCAGGGGATCATGGTTTACTTTTTTTTTCCCTTTTTGTCAATCAGCAGCTTTTATACTAATCCTACTCCCACTCGTACTCTTAACCTATCTAAAAGAGGGGCTAATTCAGCCAAGAAAGATTAAACGGAATGGTTCCAACCTCTAGATTGAAACGGTGCACACTGTCACACACCTTCAAATTTTTCAAATTTTATTGCAAGTGCAGAGATTTAAATTCCTATAACTTTTAAATTTCACCTAGTAACTAAAAATCATCTAAAACGAGTTGTGATTAGGACCGTGATTTACACGAATTGCACTTTTTACAGCAATCTATTATTGTGGGAAATCATGTGCGACAGGTTTAATTGCAGCCGTCGGTTAATCGCGTACCTAAGTGTGAGCCTTAATCTATTCTAGACTAGACATGGGCTTTGATCCATGCCGTCGGTTATCCGTACCAGCATAAAAGTGCGAATATAGCGTGGGGCCTAAATATTGGTCCTTTTTAAGTACGAAACGCAGCAAAAGTATCCAACTCCCTCGAAAGGCTAAAGAATGCTACTGTGTAGTTTTTATCACAAAAAAGCATGCGATCGTGTGGCCTGCATTTCTAGCAGAGCAAAGCCGTCACAAAAATGCAACAAAATTAAGTGTGACGAAGGTGAACTCATATGTAAATATCTATTTGTCAATCGAAACATAATATAATTGAGGATTCTTAGAATTCTCGACAATGTGGGAAGGGGAAAGGGATGGAAAATGATGTTAAAAACATAAAAATGGTAAGAAAAATAATGACTTTAATGCCTAAGGATTCAATAATATTTCTCTTCCATATTATTTTCTGCCACCTAAATAATTTAGGTCCTAATTTTTTTTTAATCGTCACTTATCTACTCTACACCTACTCCTACTCCAACCTATTTTAGGGACAGAGTTGAGTCCAACCGGACCTATTAAGTATACGAAAACTATCAAATTAGACGAATGTACTACGCATTCGCATTAAATTTAAACCACTTAGAAGTGGCAAGTGGTGGGAGACAAGTTTCAACTTTTAACCTTCTACCCCACCAAGTCTTAAAGACTACAAAAGTTTAGGCCCTGATTAAGCAGTAAAACATAATTAATGTTCCTCCCTAAATTCTTTTTTTTTTTTTTCTAAAAAAGGAAGGCATGAAAAGCAGAGAAAGCAAACAGGAAGGCTCTTGCTGCGGATATTTTAAATAGCAAAATTGACTGTCCTTGGAAGGCTCTAGTTGTATATTCTGATATAAAAGATTTAATCTCATCTTTCAAGGAGCTGATTATTTTTTTTTGTATATCGCCAATGTAATCAAACTGCTAGCTTTATAACTCGTTATCTCAATAGAGTTGATAAAATTATTTTTTAATCAAAATTTCACCCTGCTTTTCTTAGAATTGTAAAGAAAGATAAGAGGAAAAAATTAACGATTAGGGTGTGTAAATTTTTATTTTGTTATATAAAACTCGTCAATTCTCCAAAAGAAAAAAAAAAAGGAGATTTAAATCAGAATCTGTAAAAGTGATCTACATGTGCTGTGCAAATGCCAAAAAGGGTTCAAAGAAAATTCAAGATATGAATAGGACAAGGCAAGCACCCAAAAAAGGCAAAGAAACAGATGAAAGTATCATCAATTCAATTGCATTAAAATTGAGGGCTTATAATATAATATCATACAAAGGCCCAATTACTTCACAAACCTTTTTTTCATCCCCATCACTCATCACTCTTGCTCCTCCTACCCTTTGTCATTTTACTAGCTACCACCGTAGAAATTTTACTCCCTACTAATTGCTTCACTAAAACTACTACTACT